ATTCGGTCCCAAAATCGCGAATATTACATAAATTCGCAAAAAAATATTTTAAAAAAAATTTCTTTTTCAAAATTCAAGACATTGAGCAAAAATTAACGAAAGTGTATCAAGTATGTCGATTCTTAAGTCAGAAGAAAAAGAATGCTTCTCCGCCTTACAAAATGAAAAACCTATGGCTCTTGAACCAATGCATTTTGCCGCGAATCTCTTGGACCCCCCTGTTTCCTGGGAGAGCACCTTAACAATGAAGAACACATAGCCGTTATGGAGTTTATCACAATATCATCAACAATCATCCTCAGTTTGTCAATAACAAAAGGAGCCATTTTTACAGATGTAAAAAAGTATTGCGCCAAATCGGGTTTATGGGCTCTCGACTACGTTTAGATGTCAGTTAAAAATGTAGACTGTCTAAGTTGGTGGCAAGCAATGTGCAAAAATACTCAGTTGAAATATTTAGTTGTTGCTCTGCTGTCTTTACCAACGTCATCTGCAGCCACAGAGAGAAGTATCAGTACTTACAGTTTTATCCCTACTTCAAAAAAGGAATCGCTTAACTGCACAAAGAGCCGGTAAGATAATGTTCGTAGCTCATAACAATAAATTATTATTACAAAACAAAAGTGGATATAGAGCATGATATTCAACAAGAGGAAATTCCTCCAGAACCACTAGAACTCGTGGAGATAGAGGTCCATCCTTCAGAAACAGAACCAGATGATACATCAAATATATCTGATTTGGAAATAGAAACTGACGAATGCAGTACTACTACTACTATAATACCCCATGAAGATGGGACCAGCTCTGCGCCTGAAAGTATTCCGGAATAGAATAATTAAGTTATTTGTGTTTTACGTTTTTTAAATTTATACTTAAAAAAAACTTTTTTTTTAATTCAGTCTGTTCGTGGCTTATGCACAAAATACAAATGTTACCAAATGATTTTTGTTATGGGTTAAGTGTTTATGACTTTATGGGTTGTGTATTGTTTATTAAAATATAACAACTAATATTATAAGTTTATTTTATTTTCACTTACATGTTGGTATCAAATGTCTATCTAATTTATCTTTATTGAATCGACAAAAATATAAAATTTCCTAATATTTCATAAATTTTTAAAAAAAAAAAAAAAAAAAAAAAAAAAAAAAAATTTCTGAAATATTAACATCACTAACCTTAAGTGAAGGTAAACACTTAAAATGGAAATAATAAATACTGGGCACTCCTCGCGTCGTATTCCTAGTCTGTCACGACCGACCCGTCCAAGCACAACTGCAACTGCGTACTGCCTGACTAGCCGGCAGTGAATCTCGAGTACGAACGCAAATTGGGTAAACGTAAATTCGTCCGGGAACTTGCTATGTTACTAGTAGTCTGGTCTTCTCTGTATAGGTAAATAAAAAGAAATATTATCCTGTCAGAATACATAATATTATTATGACAACGATGAGTATATTGCAATAACAGCCAATAACCCAATATGGCGTAAATGTTTCAAACAAAATTATATTAAATATAATTTTTACGAAAAATCGAAAGATGCGTACAATTTATCTTAAGATAGGAATTATCGCAAACAGGAAATTGCCATCCTATCCAATAGTCAAGCAGCAGTAAACACGATCCATCAACCATCAAACACGATCCATCAACCACAGTAACCATCAATTCGAAGTTGGTCAAAGAATGCATAGAGAAGCTCAAGGGATAGCCTAGAGAAGCTCAAGGTGGATTGCTCACCAAGGGATAGAAGGCAATGAAAAAGCAAATGATCCAGCTAGAAAAGGAGCGAACACCCCACTAACTGGACCAGAACCGTTCTGTTTTCCAAACGGGAACCAACTGAAAGCGGAACTGAAGAATCTGGAAGACACTCGAAAAAGTTCCTCAGAACTTACGACCGAGAAAAATCAAAAGTTTTCCTTGATTTCCAAACCAAAACAATCTTCGGATTGTCACAGGGTTTCTAACAGGACACTGCCTCCTCAACGAACACCCCGGTAGGCTGAAGCTGAGAAACAACGGCGAATGCAGATTCTGTGGGGAAAATGGGGAAACATCAGAACATCCTATCACTGAGTGCGCCGAGACGACGACCATTCGTGCCATGAACTTTCGTACGGCTGATGTCGAGGATGGCCTATGTGGAGCCGTCTCAGATACTGGATTTTGTTAAAGCCCTGAGACTGTATAATGAGTTATAACTCGTTATAACTCAAGAAAGGGGAAGACACAATAGATCTGTAAGGTCGCGGTGATTAACTCCCCTCCAAGCATTCTATATTCTACAATATCATTTTACAAAAGAACGGATTGAACAACATCAAGTAATTATTGATCTATTTAAACAGGTTGGCAACAAAATAGTCAACAAACACAGTCTTCTTTGAGCCAATTAATAGTTATAATAAAGCGGGCCAAATTATAATAAACAATTATGAATAAATAAATATACAAATTTTATTTAAATCTATTTAAAATAGTTGGAGCTGGATAAACTTTCAGAAACCAAAACTGAAAATTACATTAATCTGTTACTAATCTAATTGTCATAACAAATGTGTCGAACAATTTGTGATTTCGCTTATGGCGCCATAACTACAAAATTGCATTCTCTACTTATTGTTGCTGGTTAAACTTAGATGTCGACGTAAGCATTTGAATACTAAAATAATTTCAATTTCGTAGTCGATAACTTTCCCAAACAATAATCAAATCAGTAGCTTCATATCATCTAAAACTAAAAAGTATGCATTTCATTTTATAATGCAATTATAAAAATTGAACTTTAAATTTAATTTTAGTCCATTTCCTTTACTATATATTGCGAACCCTTTTGTTTCATAAAAACACTTAGCGAAGAGGTTGCTGTGCCGAGAATGCTAATGGACTGCTAAATTTGTCGCAGAACGGAACATTTATAGCATTAGAGGCATTTTACATCGAGATGTGGAGAATGCCATTAAAAACTTAATATTTATTCTAATGAGATTGCTTATAGAGAAAATACTACGTTAGCATGAAAAAAAATGTACCTCTATCTAGAGGGTGAGTCTTAAATAAGTGCAAATATTTTTAGGGGTAGTATATTTCGATGGCAGAAAAATATCTATGAGGTTATGTTCGCGAAAAATGATTTTTTAAAAATTGGAATTTGTTTAATAATTTTTTGGATTTTTTTAAATTTTTAGTTAAAAAAACATATCTAGATAATATATAATTTTAAAAAATATATTTTTTAAAATTTTGAAAGTAAAATAACTCGGTTATTTTGGACTTATTTGAAAAACGGTAAAGAAAAAATATGTTTCTTTTATCGAGATCTACCAGCCCTGAATATATTTGTTCTTATTTAAGACTGGTCCTGTATATTATTAGTTCATTAGAAAAATTAGAAAATGTGTTTTATACAGTATTTATAATACAGTGTGGTCCCAATTGTATTCTAGAAACTTCGGCAAACATATTCTGCAGAAAAAAAAATAAGTAAATAAGTTCGTATAAATTTATGTCCTGAAATGCTTCGATTCTAAGATACAGGGTGTAGAAGTTTCTTTATTTTTTATTTCAATTTTTTCCAAATAATTTCTGGATTCGTAGATATTTGGATGAAAACTAGTTTCTATTTAGTTTTTGACATGAGAAATTAGATTTAGATGTCAATAGGACTCCTACTTATAAAAGGCACTACCTACATGTTTTTTAACTGTTTTAAAGAGTAATAACTTTTCGCCCGTACCTGTATAAAACTAGTCTGCTGTAAAATTTCTTGGTAAAAATCGCTACCAGTAACAACTGTTCTCAAGATATTTGGATTGAAAATTATAAATACGTGTCTTGTGACAAAAAAATAACATGCTGTCTAAATAGTTATTTGACTAAAATTCTAAATTGGAAACTTTTCTTTAGTTAATCATAATTTTTTCTAAACAAAATTATGAAAAAACAGTTTTTGTTGAAACTTTTTTATTATTTTAGTCTAAAGTCGGGCTTAGAGGACTCGTGTACTTGGTAACTACACCAATATTGACGTACTTGGCAAGTATAAGAACTTTCTAAATAGCCATGACAAACTTGGCGCTCACACGACGTGCCCAATAGCACGATTACATTACGAGTAATTTGTTTAGAAACCTCAGCCAGAGATATTATGATAAACTTTTTGGTACTAATGTAAGTTCTATAATTAGTTTCTCATGTTTTTAAAAGTATAGAACTAATTAAGGTATAGAACAAAATACTAAACATGCTTAGTACTTTTTTAAATCATCTTATTTTATCATTACAAATATTTAATTATTATAACATCTATCTAAAGAAGCTCTTTCCACTTTATCTAAAGAAAACATTCGACCCATGTGTACTACTAGTCATAACCTATGCATGCGAAACCTAGACACTTAGAACGGACATTCTAAGGAAACTGCAGGTCGTACGACGCTCAGTGGTACGAAATATGCTGGAAATAACCAGGAGAGACCGTAAAAGAATAGAGTGGATACGACAAAAAACCCAAGTCAAAGATGTCATCCACAGAATCAAATCCCTCAAATGGCAATGGGAAGGACACCTGGCAAGAAGGACGGACAACAGATCCAATCGCTTCACGATGTAGTCTTGCAAAGTAGTGATTCCCTGTTGAAAGGACTTCCGTATTATTGAACAGAATTTGATGATCTTCCTGTGTTATTGTGTGTTCGGCCAGGGCTGATTTCTCTGTTTGTCCGAGACGTCCAAGATCTTTTGTGCTCAGTCAAACGTGTATTAATACTACGTTTCGTAGTACCAACATATACTGAGCCACAAGAACACGGAATTCTATAGACCCCAGCGGAGGAGAGTGGATCTCGTGGGTCTTTAGCCGAGCGGAGATGTTCCTGTATCTTTCGAGTGGGTTTGAGGATCGGTTTTATGTTTCTTAATAATTTTCAAATGCGGTGAGAGACCCCTCTGATGTATGGAAGAAATGCTACCCCACTGGGAGGTGTATTTTCTCACTCTTGCCTTTCAACAGGTCTCCTAGGTCTTATGGCTCGTCTGATCGTCTGCTCTCGGTATCCATTGACTTGTAAGGCTCTGTCTAGGTATTGTAATTCCTCAGTGATGTGTAGAGGTTCACAGATTCGGCGGGCTCTGTCAACAAGTGTTTTTATGACCCCTCTTTTTTGACCGGGATGGAGATTTGAATTATTGTGCAGGTAGCGATCGGTATGGGTGTTTTTCCGATACACCTTGTGTCCCAAGCTTAGGTCTTGTCGTCTGCTGACTAGTACATCCAAGAAGGCTAGCTGTGTGTCCTTCTCTACTTCCATTGTAAATTGGATCTTGGGGTGTATGTTATTTAGATGTTGGAGGAAAATATTAAGTTCGTCTATTCCGTGTTTCCAAATTACGAAGGTACCGTCCACATAGCGCAGCCAGCAACTGGGTCTTTTTGTTGCAGTTCTAAGTGCTGTTCCCTCAAATGCCTCCATATAAAAATTAGCTATTACAGGGCTCAATGGGCTGCCCATCGCCACACCATCTTTTTGCTCATAAAATATATTATTTTGCTGGAAATATGTTGTAGTTAGGCAATGATGGAATAGCTTGGTGATGTCATCCGGGAACCTCGACTTATTTGCTCCAGAGCTTGGTCTAGTGGTACGTTGGTGAATAGTGATACGACATCAAAACTAACATATCATCTGGTGTCAGTAGGATGTTTTTGATTTTATCCACAAAATGTCCCGAATCTCTCACAAAAGAATCGGTTTGTCCTATATGCGACTGCATAATGTCCGATAAGTGACGAGCCAGTTCATATGTGGGTGATCCGATGGCACTGACTATGGGCTAAACTTCGGTTTTGTGGATTTTTGGCAACCCATATAGCCTTGGTGGTAAAGCTTCTGTTTTGCATAGCCTCTTCTGCACATCAGGTGTTAAAGAAGACTGTTTTATTAACTGCGTGGTTTGTCGTAGTATCTTGGCAGTTGGATCTCTAGTTAGAATCCTATATATATAGGCTAGAAGTTCTTTATTCTTGTTAGCCAAGTCTCGTCGTGTACGATGTATGCGCTCTCGTAGTAGGGCTTGTTCCATGCGATCGTAAATCCGGTGCGTTTGCGCTGTTCTTATGTTCCTTTTTGATTGCAGAAACTTAGGGATAGTTTCTGTGTCACGGCATCGAAGTAAGAATGTGAGAGTACAAAGTAATCTGGCTTTCTTCTTCGTAAGCAACTCCATTCTCCGTACTTTCACGGCCGGTATTATAACTAATAACGGTTTTGCGGGCTTTTAGGCCGTGGTTGGCTCCATAGCTTTCGACTGCATCTGCGGCAGTCTTCATCAGTGGCGTAGAGGGCGAGGGAGAAGTGAACGACTCGACGACTGGACTGGTACTGACGGAGACGGAGGGGAGGGGTTGCGCGCCTTTTATAGCATCTTGGCCCAGGCGGGGTGCAGGGGGCGTGGTTTGCTTGTGATCGCTGGTGAAGGAAGGTTTTATTTCTGTATTATCGAGCAGCGTGTACTATGCTATTTGTACTAGCTATGGAGCCAACCACTCTTGACCACGGCCTAACAGCCCGCAAAACCGTTATTAGTTATAATTAAATCAATAAGAACAAATTTTTACTCAAACGATATTAAAATGTAACATTGATGTATACTACAAATTTTATATAAAGGATCCCTACTGTAAGCCCTATCTTGAAAAAGTTATGGATTATTAAAAAACAACGCTGAAAAAAAAGGCAATACGTATCCAAATATAGAGAATTCTGCTGTAATGGTAAATCTGCCGTCAGAGAGATGCACTTAAATTTATTTGCTGTTTCATTTGTACGGTCTCGGATATTTGACGTTTTCTTTTTTTGTTCTAAGCATTTATTGCTTCCACGCAGTAAAGTTGCCATTGTTGAATACGTCGCGAAACAGACAGAAACGTTTCATAATTTATCAGGCTACCGTTTCTAGATAGATTTATAGGTTGCAATTTTTAGTATTAGACCGTAGAATGATTGCTCTTCTATGTAACGATTATCGTGCATATTTCCATAAATTTTTCAAATATTCATAAGAAAATGTATGTATATGTTGCGGTTAAAGCCCGATGTCCGGTTAATGTCGACATTAACATGTTAATGTTTGGGTTAGGTTATGTTTTTGGTTGTTTTGTTGTGTGTTATTCTCGAGATTAACCGGGTAATGTCGACATTAACTATGTATGGTATGGAAGCTTGGCCCTCAACGAGCTTTGCGAGCAAAAACTGGAGGCCTTCGAGATGTAGGCATACCGTAGGATGTTGAGAATACCATGGACAGAACATGTAACCAACGTGGAGGTTCTGAGAAGAATGAGGAAGGGCGTAGGGATCCTCAAGGAAGTGAAAATAAGAAAATTACAATATCTCGGCCATATCATGAGAGGTCCAAGGTATGAGATTTTGCAACTCATAATCCAGGGAAAAATTGTTAAAAAAAGATCTGTTGGAAGGAGAAGAATATCCTGGCTCAGAAATCTGCGAAAATGGTTAAATGTCAGGTTATCTGACATATTTAGGGCCGCAGCTTCCAAGGTCAAAATAGCAATGATTATAGCCAACCTCCGATATGGAGACGGTACATGAAGAAGAAGAAGACTATCATAATATTAATTTATTGTAGGTACAGATGAGACTGAAACCACATAAAATAAAACGGTTAATTTTCAGAACAACTACAAACACAAAAATATGTTTTTTTTATAAAATTCAACCAATTTTGTAGTACTTTATATGTATCTATTATAGTTCAGATGTCATCGAATACATGTCTATTAAAAAGGGAGAGATAAATTTCTTTCGCGTTCATTTTTCGGGCTACATAACGGAATCCGGGTTTCACTTGAAAGACAACAAACGCACTACGCACGCGCAATATGACAAATATGTAGTCAAAACCGGTTCCGAAAAACTAACGTTTTACTTGCTAGTCGTATTGAGCATTGTTTTTTTTTCTGCTGCTTGGCTGCCACCTAAAGGGGGCTACAAACGTTCATGCATACTTGACAAGTGTACTTGTGCAAGCGTACTTGTATAAAGGGGGCTACAGACGTTCATGCATACTTGACAAATGTACTTATGCAAGCGTACTTGTATAAGAATTTTGAGCGTGTGTAGGAACAAACTTGTAGAAGTATTTCGACTTGTGCAAGTGGCATAGACTTGTACGAATTTTCTTCATGCCTCAGTGATTTGCGCAAGTATGCATGAACGTGTGTATCAAACTTGCGCAAGCCTTAAGTTGATTCTAGTAGGTTTATTGCTTGGTTCTTATTTGTTTGTTACCAGAAGATAGATAAAAATGGCTAGTGAACATGAAAAAAATACGCGGGAGGTATTGGTGGAGTTCATTAGTATTTATAGAGAATCTCTTTGTTTATGGCAAGTAAAATCAAAGGACTATCATAATAAAAACAAAAGAGAGGCTGCATGTAAAAGTTTAATTAAAAAATTGCAAGAAATTGATGAAATTGCAAACCGCGATTTGATTGTAAAAAAAATAAACAGTTTAAGAACAAATATTTAGCAGGGTAAAACTTCAATTCGTTTAAAATATTAGTATGCGAATAAATATTCCTTTTTAGAAGGCAGTTTTTGCATCTAAATCGACGGTTTTTTTTTTCTTTTTGTTTAAGCAGAATAACGAAGAGCTAGCGCATCTTCTTCGTCCATTTTTACCTACTAAAACCAGACTAAAACTATTCAAGTGCGCTTGTATGGTGTGGAGTCAATGCAAACTTGTACAAGTACGTTTGCACAAGTACACTTGTCAAGTATGCATGAACTTCTGTAGCCGCCTTAACAGTTTAAAAAGAATTACTGCTGTTAAACATTTATCAAAAAGATATATAAAAATCTGACTTAAGTCTTTTATAAAAAGACTTAAATCTTTTGAATGATTTAAGTCTTTTCTAAAAAGACTTAAATATTTTTCTATTTCGTAATAATTAAATCACATGTCATTTTGAAAAAGACTTAAGCTTTCAAAAAATGACTTAAGTCATTAAAATGATTTAAATAAAAAAAAGACTTGTTTTCTGTGAGCTTGCCGCTCTGTTTCTAATACGGGATTTTAATAAAATGCCCTATAATATGCAAGTAAACCCGCAGGTAAAATTTGAACGAAAAAACGTTAATATACACAAAAAAGCACGGCTCGAAAATCTTAATTGCTCATCGCTCTGGATCATGCAAGAGGCTAGAAGGACGTCCGCAAAGATAAACCGAGATTGCCTCAGGCCGCCATCCCTTAGATCTGGCGATAAAAATTCGTAGGGACTAATTAAATTCCCTTCGTTTAGAGTGAAATTTTTTGTCAGCATAAGCGCGCTTACTTTGCTTTAAAAATTTATCAGTTCTGGTAAAAACGATGCATAAATCTAAAAACCCCATCCCTGTAAGCATATCTTTTTTATTATATAGAATGCGTCCTTTATCACAAGTCGTTAAATTTTGGTTTGCAAACCTCCCTAAAATTTATTGCCAAAATCAAACGTTATATTACTTAAAAAGTTTTATTTTATTATAATTAACTATAGCTTGTCTAATATATGGTGAAACTCTTTAAGCATTATTGCAAACATCTTCACAGTTTTATTTTTGATATTGACTGGACTTCGAAATCCAACCAACGGGGGGCTCGTTTAAAAGAGCTGTTTTTTACTCAATATTAAACCATATAAATGTATACGCTAGAGGGTGCTGTCTTACAATTTAACAAACATTGCGCGTTTTTTTTTAAATTAAATGCTAGTATATGTAATTTAGCTGATAGTAAAGAGTAATAAAGATTGAAAGTTGGAATTATATTTTGGGTGTCTATGTTTTGCTAAGTGCTTTAACAACATTTGGGGCATTGGGGCGTCGTTTCCTGTTCACTGTCATTGATATCTTATTATACATATATTAGGTAATACACCTAGTATTATGGTATTCTGGTACATTGTCAATTTTTAAATAAAATAATCAATTTATCTATTTTTTTTTTTGAATAAATAATCTATTAATATTTATCTTATTTTTTTATTGTATTTATAATCAAGAAGCGCTTAGTCAACTTGCTTATAGATGGCATGGAAATATTCTATACTTATCCGTTCCACTATACCAAATTAAACTGATTCCCGAGACTTAAGCAGGCGTTATTAGAAAAGCAAACAGAGGTTCATCCTTTTTACACTCGTATCGTATTTCGTAATTACCAAATTTAATCATCTTCCTTGGGCGGGCTGACTACTGTACATCGTCAGCATTAACCTCTTAGACAAATAAAATTTCAGCTCTCCCGCATTTTTCGTCAAATATTTGCTGCCGCACCCATTTTCTTTTTTTTTAAACGCGTCTCCCGGTTTTTATCTGCCAAATGCAGAAAGACGGCCAGACGGAGGACGAACGTCTTCACCGAAAATTAAATTTGCACAAAGGTAAAAATTAAATTTAAGAAAAATCAACTTCTGCATTAATTAAAACGAGTTGAAAGTACCCAA